ATATATGCATTTCCTTTTGAAATATTTGACTCATTCATGCTGGAAATGCGTCGGCACACTTGCTCTTAAATGCGCCGGCACACGTGCGCTGCATATGAGACGCATATGTAAGCGCATCTGTGAAGTGATCTGGGCGCACACGTGCCGTTTAAAGACGCACGCGTGCACTCACTGTGCGCGCATCGTGACTACATTTTGCTATTTGGGTGGATACTGCAGCATTTGTGTACTCAAAAAATACAATTATTGTAGAATTTCATATTTTTATAACATTTTAATTTAAGTTACTGCATGAATATGCTTTAGTAAAAAGCCTTTTACCTTACTAAGTAATACTTCGTATAGACATTTGTGTGTAGACATGTACATTATTTACAAAAGCAGATATTTAAAAAAATGCGTTGTTATTATTAATTCTATCGGTCATTTGTCAATAAAACTGGACTTCTCTAAAAAAATCTTCTTTATTTAACTGTTGATAAATTTCCTATCAATAAGGATGGAACCCTTATCCATAAGCGTCATATAAGTAACGTTGTCTCGCTGACATTATAGTCGTTTTATGAATTATGAATCTTATCCAGGTCAAACATCGGAAACCGATTTGAATGGAAACAATCAACATTACGTACAGTACGTACGTCACGAATGCGCTATGAAAGTGGAGTGCGTAAACTCGTCGGATATAATCTGGTCACACTGGGTTTTTTGACATTCCATGTTAAATAAAAACCTTCGTCTTAAATGGCAAATAGTAAATATAAATATAAGCTAAAGTTTTATAGTAATAAACATGTTTGTTGCTGAATTATTTGCATACTGTTCTAGTTATTAAAATTATAATTAGATTAGAATTTTATCTATTAATTATTTCAGATAACATCAATAAAGCATCTACAATTTAAATAATATTTATTTTCTAATTAACAAAATAAATATTGACAACTCTGCCCAAAATATTTTTATTACTTATAACATAATTAAGAATAAATTTAATTTTGCTGCTAAAAAATGCCCACGTCCACTACAAAAAATTGCGGTTGTCGATTATTAAAGTGATTTTTAAATGGATTGAATTTAACTGCATCTAGGGTAGATTGTAATAGGTTAGTAGCCGGCTGGAGTAAGTGCTGCTAGCTTTTGTTGTCAATTTTTTTTTAATGAGATGGTCAAGAAAAGTCGTGATTGTTAATTTGTGTGTGATATAGTAAAAACATATTTTTTTTGATCCATTATTATAGAGATCATTTTTCTTGTTTATTTCAAAATAAAATTAAAAGGAATGACTTGGATGATTCTTTAAAATGTATTTTTAATATATTATGGGATTTCGCGTTTACACAGTTTACACAGTCATTTAGTCACAGTCAGGCGTTTTGACGTCGAGCGCTTGATTTTCGTTTTATGTATGTGCGCAGGACTACTTTTCGTTTGGTTATGTTTTTATAGCCAAAAAGCGTAGGGCACCAGTGAATATTTTTATCAGTCGTGGCAACAGTTGTGAATAATTCCCGTTTTGTAATTATTAATTAATTACTTATTATTATTATTATTATTATTATTATTATTCTCATTCTGAAGTAACAACCACTCCCACAAAACTAGTGCAATCTCAACTAGTATTACTGACAAAATAATTACGTTTTTTACTAAACTCAAACATCTTAACTGTTTCTGTGTACCGACCGGCAATAAAATGTTTCTTGTAGTTTTGATCTTTCCATTTCGAACATCGTACCGACGTAAAATACATCTGCATGCGACGTTGGCCATAAGTCGGCCAATATATATGTTTGCTGAGTATAATATTAATCACTTTTTGTAAATCAAAAACAGCTACCTATGGTGTTTATCACTACCATGGTATAATAACAACATAGTTACGAGTTTGGAGAAATTATTATTTTTTATTTAATAAAAAACTGTAGCTTACTAATTTGTTTGATTGCTGTTTTTGTAATTATAAACCATATTACAATTAATTTACATAATCATTTCACGTATTTTTTATCACTTTAAATTGGTATCAGGCACCAGACCCCAAAACTAATATTCAGGCCCAATAACTATCTTATTTTTCGGGCCCTATATATTTTTAAGTTTTGATAGGTTGTATATACAACCTATTAAAACTTAAAAAAAAAATACGACCTCCAAGTTTTTTGTGTACATTCTTCAGAGATTTAATATTTTGGCAAAATTTCAGTTCTACTAAAAACTTGTGTGATTGTCTGCGCCCAACAGTACGTTTATGTTCTCTTAAGCCAATTCTTTTCTTCTCAGAAACCGTTTTATGTTTGTATGTACCTGACAATTGTTTTATTTATTTTTGTAAGATCTACATACTTGGCATAGAAAACCCCGGGAGAAAAAGCAAACTCTATTGGCAATAGTCAAGATCGAGCCCGGGCCCCCCAACGTGACGGGGCCCCTAAAGTCAATACTCACTGGTCCTCCCCATGTGGGGGGCCCTATCTGACAGCCACTGAAGTCAAAGTTAGTTTAACTTCATCTAATGCCCGACATAACAGTTAGCCGTTTGCACTACTTTACTAAAAGTTTCAGGACAAACTATAATTGTATACAAATTTATAAAATAATATATTTTAAATTGGCTTTTTAACTGTATCTAGTCTAGCATTTCACTTAAATTTAATTTATTTCGTCAAAATACGAATTTTAAAATATTCACACAAAAGAAATATGTGGAAAATAAATAAATTATGTACCTAATTAATTATAAGCGTATTATGAAAAATGAGAAAGAAAAGGTGAAGGTGACTCTATTTAATATTATATTATTAATATCCATTTAAAAAAATATAAAATTTGGATAATTATCAATTTAAGAATAACCTTTTTAAAATAATTTAAAGACAAAAAATATTGTAATTGAAATACCAAATTTATTTTTAGTTACAATCACAATATTGTCTATTTCTTTCTATTAAAATTGTAACACGACACCTTCAAACAAAAAACACTGAAATTGTAAATAAAAATATTTTTGTTATTGCAATTGCAATACTTAACCCCTTCATTCAGTAGCCCCTTCAATTTTTTTAAATGGCGAATGCACCGGGATTAATTTTAAATCAATAATATATATACAGGGTGATTCACTTAGCTGATTCATTGGGGGTTTATAGAGAACTAAAAGAGACATCAATCTAAAATTTTGGTTGCAGCTATGGTGCGATGGGATCTATTTTTTAATGCGCTGTCACTTCCGGTTTAAACGGAACGCCCATTATCGTACATGTTTCCACGAAACTAAGTGACCTTTTAAATACACATTGAGTTTTGGCTTTACGGCATTTTTAGTCACGGGCTGAAGTTAGCTTTAAGTTAGTGCACAGTTGTCAAATGTCATACAATCGTTAAAATAAAGTGCCCTTCTTCTAAAACAATACTAAATGTGAAAATTATTTTATTATCTCAATACAAAAATACAAAAGCATTAAATAGTTTCTCAATGCCAATATTTGAAAAGTTTATATGAAAAGTTTACTGACCTTTTAATTTCGCTGGCAGTAAACTAGATATAACTTAAAGTCGGGCTCAGACTCCACCGTGAAGTGTTAATAAAATAATTTCTTCATTTTCACTGTGAAAAACTGTTGTTTAATCCATTTTCAAGGGATACATTTTGATTTATCATCTATGTTTATAACACATACAAATTTGACATTTGACGGTAACACTAACAACTAAACAACTAACATATTAAAGTAAGGGGTTATTTACTTATTTTTTATTAATGGAGGACCCAGCAAAAGCATAAGTCTGGTTATAACATATATGTATGTCTGGGCCATAACAGTTCGAAGACTTAATTATCCTTTGGTTAACGCCATCTTTGAAAATAATGGTCATTGTAATTCCTATAGTGTTATTAGTGTTAAACATAAATATTCATAATTAAGTGAATAAATTAATTTACATAAGTAGGAAGTTTTTACCTATCAATTATTACAAAAAAAAATATTTTAAATGTATCAAACATAGAGGATGAAAAGTTTTTTGTTTGGTTTTTTATTATTAAATTTTACGTTATGACATCATAGGTTTAGTAGTCAAGCCTTCATAAAAAGTAAGGTTCCGACGCCATATTGGTCATATCATTTGATTCAAAATGAGGAATGATTTTTCAAAAGGCCTTATTTTCATTTTTACTTCAATGTAATTTTTTGACAAAATCCCAAAGGTATGGTTAAAAGGCATATATTAACGGCGAAATATGACAGCAGGTCTGAAGTAATATTAAATATTCATCAGAATTTTTTAATAAATAATCTATATTGCCCTAACCCATACAGGTTATAGTCATTTTTTTGAAAAATTGTTGCAAATGGAAATACTACCTTTTGAAAAATCACTCCTCAAATGTAAACAATATGATATGACGTCTTAACCTTAATTTTCATTCATATTGTATTTTTAAAATAAAGAACTCGTTTAGCAACCAAAAAAGTGTTTCCATAACACGATGGATCTCGACCTTAATTATTGATAAAACAAAAAATCAAATAATAGGTAATTACAATAGCACCATTTTAAAGATCAGTACGGATACTTAGGGAATCTATACAGTCCTACAACTCCACAGTTCTTAAACATGTGGGGTGAAAAAGAAAATACTCTTGCGAGTTTTAACAGTCAAGTTGGATTAATTTGTCGAAGAGTCTTCAATGAAGGATTTTATTCATAAAGCTTAGATTAAGTTAGGCACAACATAATTTTACAAACAATACATTTTATACCAAGAATTGTTTTCGTTCTATGAAAATTGGCCATAGGCATTTTGGTTAGCATCTGCGTTATCAACTCAAATAATTTAGTAAAACAGAAATATAAATAATTTATCCTTTATTGGAATAATGTTTACAATAATAATGTACAATGTAGGGTAAATGTACCTACATTAATAGCGAATAAAATATTTAACGTAACCAAACTATTCTGTTAATTTTTAAACTATAATATTTTTTTGTTTTTAGATAAATCAAAAAAGATAAAACATCTAATAATAATAATTGCCGCAGTTATAATATCTATAATAATAGTAGCAGTAACTATAGCTATGATTTTAAAGAAATCCAAGCACCCCAACTACAAACCACCTACAGACTTGGACGATCAATTTTTGCTATACAAAGCCGATTGGGGTGGAAAAGCGGCAACGGATGACATTCCCATCAACAAGAAACCAGTACAATATGTGATAATATCGCACACGGTTTCTCCCATGTGCAACAACGTACAGGCCTGCTCTTCTAGAGTTCGAAACATTCAGAGTCAGCACCAGAATGGTCCATTTCCTGATATTGGATACAACTTTCTTGTAGGCAACGATGGCCATGCTTATGAAGGAAGAGGATGGAACCATAAAAATTTTCACATGTACGATTCGGTTGCCATTTGTGAAATTGGTGATTTTACCACTGATATATTTACTAATGTTATGATTGAATCCACGAAAAGGCTTATAGACCTAGGGATTACTCTTAATAAGATATCAACGCATTATAAGCTGATTGGTCAAAATCAAACAACCACTTCCGAAAGTCCAGGAAGTAATGTTTACAAAGTTATAAAGACCTGGCCTCATTTTTATGCTGGGAGAGTTTCTTCATAAAAAAGGTGTTTTTTTTTAATAGATACTGAAATTGCTCAAAAGACCACATAACGGTTTATTATATTTATTTTTTTGAAATGAATTTTTATTCAGGAAGTTGTGAAAAAAAATAATTAATAATATTTTATAAAACATTTCGCATCTATATGAAACCGCTTTTATTTATACCTGAACACATTGCAAACTGCGAACATAACCCAATTGTGTGTTTTATATTGCAGAATTCTCCTCAAACCAAATTTTTGTCAATAATAAGGTTCAGTCATTTATAAATGTATTTATGTGTATTTAATAATACATTGGTTTAAACTGAAATCTGTTGATATAAATAAATCAACGTTTTTGCATACGGCCCTAGGTAAGTAATTTGAATTTAAAAAAAGACAAGCTAAATGGCCCCCATTCCTGTCCTGTCAATTTTTAAACTATACATTTTTCATATTTCAGACTAAGTGTTCAATTTTGGAAAAGTTACTGATGGGTATTTCCATTGTAACGGGTGCGACACTGAAACTGCTTTTAAAGTTGATGCTGTAAAATTTTGGATGAAAGCATATACCGTAAACACAGGTGGCTTTAGCTCAATTTCAAACTTAAGCTTTAAATTTTTGTCGTTTTAACAATCATAAACATAAAATTTTGTATACCAAAATTTGAGTCTTGAGTTGCTCTTTCATAATATCTATGTTATAATATTACATAGGGCTGAGTTTCAAAAATAAAAATTAAAAACTGGGTGTGCAAAGTTACAACCTGGTTGCGGGTAACTTTGTCTCACAGTGTATTTTCCGTATAAAATTAACTCAATATTTTATTTTTATTAAACACGTGTTAGCAGCGACATATATCTATTGGAAGGAATTACCAATAAAAAAATAAAAATTCGACCTATAGTTAACCAAGGATCATCATTCCAAAGGATTGCACATAATATAGAAATTGTAACGCGTGTATTTCTAAGAGTTTTGCACTGATGCGATATATACAATTTTAAAGTGTAATAAATCCCATTTCTTTCTTTAAAACACTGATAACTCAATATAATCGCTCAATTGACAGGTTTAGACCAACAAATTATAAATGTTAATTTTATCGAGCGCGAAAAGATTTTTTATAAAAGGGTTAAAGTCACCCGATCACTACGGTAGTAATAATTTTTTTTGTAAAACTAGAATAGTAACCTTAAACAAGCACGTATATTAAATCTGTGGGTAAAAGGCATAAGGGGATAAGTCAAAAAAAGCAATTTTTCGGTAGAGACTTAAACGTGTTCTCATTAATTCAAGAAATATATTTAGTACCCTTTTGCTAGCATATGACATGTGCTGGCAAATGGGTATACCCGCTAACCATTAAAATATTTCCTCAATTAATGCAACACGTTTAAGGCACTGCTAAGAAATTGATTTTTTTTGACTTATCCCCTTATGCCTTTTACCCACAGAAATGCACAAATATTGTATACTTTATTTTTTTAAATGTTCTCAAAATGTAACGGGTGCGACATTTGAACATTTTATCAAGTATTGAACCTCTTCCTTGTTTATTCTTAATGTTAGCTTCTCAGCATCACAATGTACGAATATCTTAAGGTTATAAATTACGTCGCAATTAAACTATTTGACTTCAGATATAGTAGTTTTTATTTTGTTAAATAACACATCTGATTTTTGTCAAGGTTTCGCGGAAATACCCTGATGTACAAAATAAACATTTTGATAAAAATATTATTTAAAAAAATCCTTTCCCTGTCCCAGAGCCATGACAAACAGAAAAATTTATAATATTTGAGCTGGGGCAAAAAACGGTAGTCCCAGTGCTCTTAAGCGACTGACAGGTTTAATAAAAATGAGTCCAAAAATGATTTTAATAGTTTTAATTGTACACGTCTCTCGATTAAATGTCCGCTTAAATTAAAATTATAACTGAAGCTGTTCTTTAGATATTTGAATTTTAGTAACCTTATTTCTTAAGATGAATAATTTTTAACTTGGATTATTTTAAAGCGTAAACCCAACCCAATTGTTTATTTTTTCTTACGCATTACCTAATATTTGTATAAGCTTTAATAAACACATGTTTTATTTTTTGTGAAAAAATTTGTATGTTACGACAGATTATTTTATTAATATAAGAGAGGTGTAAAAGCTGGTACGAAAAATACCTGCCAACTTTAAAACTAAAACTTTTAGATATGTCAAAAGAAGAATAACAAAAAAAAAATGTCTTATCTCTTTTTATTTTTCCCCATGCGTCATTTGTTAGTAAACAGTGAAAATTTTGAATTATGCAGTTGCTCGCCATTTTCCACTCTAGCCTGTTAGTTCTAGTCTTAGATAAAACATATCATATTGGAACAAATTTTAATACGTATTTAATTAGTTAATTAGTTACATAATTATTTTACAAATTATTAAAAAAGCATATAGACAATTAGAGGTGCCAGGAAGAAAATTCTACAACGGCTTTGTTAACCTGTTTGAGTATGTGGAATCATTAATTGAGTTAAAATGATATCGTCTCCAAAATGTTGGGAATTCCCGATGCATTGATTCACTGGCCTGCTCATAAACCTAAGCCATCATTTTCCAAAAGTTGAATGCAATTCTTTACATGATTCAGAAGAACGTGTATTTTTAAGGTTGCGCACATTTCAGTACTTTTAAATGGTTCAGATGCAAATATTTTTCTAGGTCCTCGAAAAACAACAGTTTACAAGCTTGTCCATTTCCTTAAAAGCAGATACGAGAGGGACCAACCGAAAATATCCTACGTCTTCATACATTGTTGGATCTTGAAGCAACGCGTCTGCATATTTCAACAGTTGGCGACAAGCATTGCCCTCAAAAATCTCACCCTGATAATTTTTTGCAACTAATTTTAATTTTTTTGGCCACATCAGCGCCTTTTCTCGTCCAACAAGCGGAACAAGACCTTTCGAAAAAAGATGGTTTACATACCCTTGTAGTAAATGTAATCTCGTTTTCCTAAAACAGCATCTAAGAGTTTTTCTGCATTAGCCCAAATAACGGGACGTTTTTCTTTTATTCCATTTTCTGTTTCAAATTCATAAACACTTTCGTTATAGATGCTTTCTAAAATCTTAGATTTTTTAGACATGTGATCCGCGTAATGTAATGGAATAGATCTCTGCCTGCATTGGTTCTTAAAAAGTTGGTAAGTTTTTTCATCTGATTGGATGATGCGCCGATACTTAATTGAAAATTGTCCAAACTTTCGGCACTAAAAAACACTTTTTTTTTTCTTTTTGTGGATTTACAACAATCCTAGTTTTTGAACCAAATGTACTTAAACTTCATTCTTTTTTTTGTTCACGATTTAAGCAATTATCAATTTTTTTAATACCGATATCAATATTACATTTTTGTTTTAGCACAGATGTAATAACTTGATCTTGTTGTTTTTCTGGTATTTTTCCACTATTTTTAACACATTTTTACCAGCACATTTTATTGCTGCAGAAGTTTTACAAGGATGCACAAGACCTTTACCAATTTTTTGAAAGCATTTGTCACATAATTTAATGAAATTTTTTCTCACTTCTTTTTTCTTCTCACTTTTTGAAAGTTGGCAGTTTTTTAAAGATGCATAAAGACCATTATATATATTTATTTGATTTGACATTTGTAGTATATGTCCTCTTCCTTTTATTACTTTTGGGTGACCTTTGAATCGACCAGTTAAACATATATAACAGTTACATATGTCTCCACAGGACCTGGTTTCTTTTAATATATATATATATTAGACTGGTCGTAAAAAATTTTTTTTCAACCGCCGGGCAAAAAAAGTTTTGTTTTGGCCTAAATATGTCTCATTTAAAATTTCGTAGTTATAAGATAATATTTAGTGGCCGCGCCCAGGCAGGTAAATATGAAAATACGGAAAATATTAATAAAAATAATATTTTTAAAACAAATTTAATTATGGCGTAGTAAACTTATTTTTTATGTATAAATTAGTATGTAGTTGCATTGCTAATAAATTAACTCATCTAAAAACTACATAAATCCAAAATTGTTTTTAATAAATGAACTTTTATATGAAATGTAGAAACGACATTACTCTAATTCTTCAAGTACAAAATATACCTATTTTTTCCACCGCGTAAAAAGAATGATACTAACTTTATAGATATCGTTGTCAGGTTGACAGTTACTGTATTTATCATTATCTGTTATTGGCAATAATTGACTATTATTAACCTCATTTATTTTGATCCATCAACATGGGAAGACAATGACGACTATCAAGAAGCTTTCGATTTTTGTCGTGGTTTGTTTGTAGTCAATGATGTTGCTGAATGCGGTGTTAAATTCATGAAAGACTACAATGGAATTTTGACTCAAAATGAAGAACAGAAGCAATTTGTCTTTCAGTTTGTTGAAGCATATCGCAAGAAGTTTCCTTCCTGTAGCAAAACCGCACTTAAGTAATTTAATGTAAAATATTCACGAACCTTTTTTTAAATTCTAACCGAATTTGGACATTAATAGCTTTTTGTGAATGTTCTATTAACCATTTAACGGAATATTTATTTCTTTGATTAATTTAAGTTTTGTGCATGCATTCACTCATAAAAAATCCAAATAAAAACAATTTTCTGAATATTTTGTATATTTAAATTTCCTCACCTGGGCGCGGCTAGTAAATATTATCCGATCGTCACCAAAATTTAAATAGAAAAGTTTTAGGTTACAAAAAAACTTTTTTTGCCCGGCGGTTTAAAATCAGAAAAAAAAATTGAATTACCAACCAGTCTAATATATATATATATATATATATATATATATACTATAATTATATATGTTAGAAAAATACGTCAGTTTCTTTTTGACATGAGCATTTATCTACAGCCAAGTATTATTTTTTTATATTAATTGCTTCTTAAAAATTATTTATCTTGGTAACATATACATAAGTTAGGTCCGAAACAAGTTGAATCTCTATATAGAGATTCAACTTGTTTCGGCTTTTCGGATTTAAAATGCGGTCGCTAAATTGCACTTAAACGCCTGCTTATGCAAAAAAATAAAATAAAGTTCATAAAAGTAAAATTTACTAGAAATATTGAATTAAAAGTTAAAAAAAGTATATTCTAAGATATCTCGAGAACAGCTTCAGTTATAATTTTAATTTAAGCGGGCATTTGCTCAACAGAC